TCACTAAATCCACTGGTAATGAAAACAAAATACGATAGGTGTCACTAAATACACTTAAAATGCAAACGGAAATACCGTAGGTATCGCTAAATACACTTGTAGTGAAGAATGTAATGTCGTAAGCTAAATAAAAATAACTGTAGTGAAACGGCCATACAGTAGGTATCACCAAACACCATGGAAGTGGAAAAGGCAGTTCACTAGAGGTGAAAACGGGATTACGGTTGGTATCACGATATACACTTAAAAAGAAAACGGAAATACCGTAGGTATCACTAAATACACTGGTAGTGAAAACGGAAATATCGTAGGTATCGCTAAATACACTGGTAGTGAAGAAGCTAATGTCGTAAGCTAAATAAAAATAACTGTAGTGAAACGGCCATCAGTAGGTATCACCAAACACCACGGAAGAGAAAAAGGCAGTTTGCTCGAAGTGAAAACGGGATTACGGTTGGTATCCCTATATACACTTGAAGTGGGAAAAAAAACGGAAATAGATATCACTCAATGCACTTAAAAGTGAAAACAGAAACACGGTAGGTATCACTAAATACACTGGTAGTGAAAACGGAAGTACGGTAGATATCGCTAAATACACTGGTAGTGAAAACGGAAATACGGTAGGTATCATTAAATACACTGGAAATGAAAACGGAAATACCATAGGTATCACTCAATACACTGGTGGTGAAAACGGAAATACAGCAAGTATCAATAAATACAGTGGAAAAGAAAACTGGAATACTGTAGGTATCACTAAATACTCCGGTATTGAAACCGGAGTAACAAGGTTATTTTTTTTCTTTTTTTTTCCCCTAGCAAAAACAAGTCTCGAGAAGAAAGGTTCAGCACCGAACAGCCCCAGCGATATACCGTTCTGCTTTTCACCCACAATCTGCTATTCAAGTGTCTATGACATTCCGTCCTGCTAAAGCTTTCTCCTGTCAATCCGTTCATTCTAGAAAAACTATTCCGCTGGGCTGTTATTCCTGGAAAGAACCACTCACAAGACTTGTACATCATAATCATACGTTAATAAGAATTCGCTGCTCCAAGTCACGGGTACAAATATGGAGAAGGGGGTATAATATGTGTATTTGTACTCAGAGTACCAAATATAAGTGTTTATTTAGAAATTAAAGTTTATTTACAAAATAACTTCTCGAGAGGCACGAAAGGAAAGTAATAAAATACAAACAAAACCATGACCAAGTAGAAATGTACAAAGCCATAACATCCCAATGTCAAACCTTTAACGCTTAAATCGACTAAACACGTTGTTGCTCATTTTGGATGGGCACGAGAGCAGCAACATCGCTCTGGTGATGAATCTCTACTTTCCGATCTCCCAGGACTTTATGAACAAAAATTCTACCGTCTCTGGTGCAGAACGATACTATCTTATTGTCATGGCGCAGTTTGTTCAGTTCGTTGACGATAGATTGTCTACGCTTGGTGAGGGCTTCAATTATTATGGTAACACTCTTGTTATTCTTTGATCGAGATTTCGCTTCGAACACTCTTTGCCTGTCATAATATCTTACGAAACGGGCGATAATAGTCGTTTTTCCATTCCTGACAGACCCTAGAACATGACATCGAGAAATCTGGTTTACTGACACATTTACTTTCAGTTGCTGGTTACACAAATCAAACATTACTTTCAAAGAGTCGGAATTCGCCTCGTTTTCAACCGGAACGTTAATAAACTTGAGGCAAGTGCGCCTGGAATATTGATCATGATCGTCTAATATATCTTCATGTTGTTTCTGATTTTTTTTCTAAATAATCAATTTTCATTTGTAGAGCAGAAATCTCAGCATCTTTACTCATAATTGTTTTTGTAATGTGTCAGTTTGTTGTTCCACCTTTTTCTGTATTTTTCTTTCTTATGAATCAGACACAAAGCTTTTAAAATTTTCTTTATTCTCAATAAATTGCGGTATTTTGTCTTCAGCAAGCTTAGCGATTTTATCGGTAAACACGGTATCAAGAACCTTTACCACTGTATCGGCAACCGGAACACTGAGTAGTTGAACCATATGATTCATGAAAACTGGGTCGAACATACCAGGTAGTTTGATATAGGCTATCGGTCTCCGTGAAAGGCATTTTGTATCGACAATTTGTTGTAATCATAAGATCTGTACTGTAATAAACCTTTGGTCCGAAACAGAAATGGAGTGATGTCCGTTTTCCATCTCAACATAAAAGGAACTGATGAGATATTTAAGCTTGTTCATATAACAGATGTGTCATGCTGAAAAAACATGTTGATGCCTGGCTAACACTCACTGACCTTGACTACTATCAACTGTATTGTTACTGTCCCGGACATGTTTTTGTCAATTCTGTAATATTTCACTGTTGAAAACGTTCTAAAATTGGCAGTAATAACTAAAGCTCACTTGGAAATGAATTCCGAAAACGATAAGTTGCAAAACGTTAATTTGAACACAATTATTCGCCAATGTTTGTAAAAAGTGCACCTAAAAGACGAGAATGTACGAGTTTCTGTCGGTTTAAGTGCTAAAGTACTTGTTAGGTCCTCTGATTTCATGACGTCATTTCATTGTTGTTGTGACGTCACTGAATTACAAATATTTTTTCGTGTGGCCGATCGCCGGAAAGTCTTTCAACAGAATATGCACTCCATCGAGACGAAAAGCCCCGATACTCATAAAGCAAGATTCATATTCTGTGTTTCCGTTCCAGTAAACTCATAAGAGCATCAGGTAGCGCGATCACGAGGTCATGTCCAAGCACGAGTGCAATTTAGGTAGGTTGATTGCTCTTTATCTACAATGACGACAGAGATCATGTGACCAGTCACATTTTCGTACTGATATGGGAATAATACACGCGTGCTATATATTATGCATTCATAACTGGCTAATACAAAAGGAACGCTAAAGGTAACTATTTCTCGTTGACTTTCTATACATTCGACTTTCAATATATTCTGTATCTTCTCTAGATTCTAGCAAAATTATGTTAAAATATTCATTTACCTGAAGACAATCGTTCAGATCTTAGTCTATCTTGTAAAATCGGTACGTTGTTGAGTTGGACGGCAACTTGATTAGGAGCTGCCAGTATCAGATAAATTTCAACAGAACAGAGATTTTAATCGAAAATGTAGTTACTTATATCTTGGTGGAAATTAAACGTGTCCTTGTATACTTTACCATACTGTGCTGGCTATCATTGCCTGTAGAACAAGGTGTATATACTGTGATATTAGTAGTAATTGTGTAATTTTATTGTATACCACACATTACCGCAATCATTTCTACTTTTAGGTCCTCATGTATATTCTATATGTATACAATTAAAAATATTCAATAAGATAAACTAATGCACACTTACTTATATCATCGTAATAAATCATCTGTTAAATATCACGTGTATATTTGTCACCGGAAGTTGTAAAGGAAACGGCCGTTTCCTGATAAAGGATTTGTGGGATAGTTTAAACTCGTTTATTGACATCAAAAGATAATTTTCATATGCTGTCACTTACGGTTCTAGTTTAGGTACGTATGTCTTTTTTAATGAATGATGTTTGTTTAAGATAACATTTGGCTATATACATTACCATTTATCATATCTGTAGCTGTGTGCATCGCTAGTCATGTCGCAAAGCTAAATGATTTCGCAACAATGTCGTTTGTCTGAGCGTTTTGCCAATGGTAAAATTTGTATTGTATTTGCCAAAGACGTGGTGTTCATTGCCAATGATGATATTTGTGTATCGCCAATGATGTTATCTGTATATTGCCAAATTGTTTAACCCTGTGTATTGCCAATGTTGCCGTTTGTGTGAGTTGTTCTTGCCAATGAAACTATCTGTGTATAGTCAAATTGGACAATGATGCAATATCACTCATTTGTCATTAGTGTTTGGTTTTGGCCAGTCATGTGTATTACAGATGATATTACTTTACAGTGCAAGTATTTATTGTAAATGATGATTAATAAATGTAATTTGTCCGGATGTACGTAGGCGTTGATGTTTGTTTCAGATTATATGAATTGGCTAGTGAGAGTTCATGTAATCATATGTTGTTCTTAGTCTGAATGTTCACAGAAAATTATGTTTTCACATTTATATCGTACAGCTCTGCTACACGTTGATTTGTTGAGTAGAAATAATCGATGAGAGCGGTGATACTATGACGTAAGAAACCTCGGATACAAGATTTAATTACCTCCAACAGATATCTCGTTTCTCATTAACAAAAATATCATTCCCTATATGTATCCATGTGATATAAAGGTACATTGTATTGGTGTTGTTATAACAACAATGCATACACGTATTTAAGTGGACTACGTATACAGCTAGTCGATCTGCCGATTTATAACGTGTGCGTTATGAATCGTTCAACTGAGATATTTTGTTTTATGTTTACGTCAGGCATCTCAGCAAAGAACACGAGAGTAACTATTAAGCTATTAAAATATAAAACTTGTTCAGGTAGAATTCATCAAAACTGCATTGAAATTCGATAGAATTATGAAAAAAATACGTAAAAGAAATCAGGAAAAATAACAGCATTAATGTCTAGCGCTTTTACATAACACAGTTGAAATGAAACCATAATGTAATGTTTTGTTATTTAGTTTATAAGTCATAATTATGTAACATTAAATTTTTAGAATGTAAATTTTGACTAGGTATACATCTTCTTTATTCCAGATGAAGTGGATTTACACAATCCAACATTTATACATTGCAAATACAACTATAAATTTGAAAAGATAATTTGAAAGCAAGCCTATGTTAATTCATCTGATATGAAGTTGGCGAGTAACAGAATTTGTGCGGGTGATGATAATAGCATAATTAACACTTTTTTTCAAGGTGTATTCTACGAGCTTAATAACAGAGGAAGCTTTTGTGTTACAGATGACGATGGAATTTTGATATAACGCTAACTTTGGAATTTAATACTGAATCGAAAACCTGATAGAAGACATTACCCAAAATCGATATGGGAAAAACCAGTCAATTTCTTTTGTTGACATGGAAGAATTGGATTATACAGAAGCGCAAAAAATTGGTGACGGCGTTTGAGATACTTCTTCCGGTAGGTTTCGCCGCTCTGTTGGTAGTGATCCGTTCCTTAGTGAAGATAGAAGCAATTGATACCAGTACAACATGGCCATCCTTTCCTTTGGAAGAAAATGCCTCAAGGCTTGTATCAGCTCCAAAAAGGGAGATTATTTTCTCACCAAACCAAACTGTTATTGTAGATCTGATGAACACCGTTGCTCAACAAGTTGGGCCCACGTTTACTGGTAAGTGTATAGTGTTAATTAACATTTCATTGATATCATTGAAGATAGTGAGGAACCTAAGTAGTAACACATTGTATAAATACATGTACCTACCCCATTATCGAGGTGAACCTTCAGTATTATCTTTTCAACTAATATGGCAATTGTTCTCGCTGCTTCTAATGTCGTGTAATGCCGATATGATACATTCCGTACAATTTCAGCATAGACATTCTAATAAAATAAACCTTTTTCTCGCCTGTGAAATTCATTGATATGTAATGACTATTGTATGACGTTGTAACGATGAAACTTGACTAAAGCCAGCTGTATATTACCAGCCCATGAACTGCCAACAGCAGAGGAATATTTTAAGATATGCTTACAAATTGGGGTTGCCGCTACTTATTACAAGGTGAAAATTGAAAATGATATGTGTAATCATTGAACTGCTTATAGAACTGCGTCTGATAAATGTCTACTGGATAAAAACAATTTTAACATGACTCACTGACATACTCCACTGAATTTGCCTTTATTCTGGTGGCATTCATTTAGCCCTGAAATCAATGCTTAAATGAGTTACAGAGATAATATCCTATCCAGTGTGATTGTTCATTGGGCTAGAATCTACAAGAAAGACTGGTATATACATATTTTTTTCTGAGATAGTGACCTGAATAAACAACAATGGGTCTCAGGTTCTCAAAAATATTATTGATAATGTCACATTGTCAGAATTTTACAATAGTAAATGAGACATAGGTACTGAGACCAGATGGAATGCTGCATAAGGTCGAATTCAGTTACTTTCATACCATTTTTTCTTTCTATTCCTGGTAGAAATAACGTAAGCTAAAATAAATATTCGTTCAACAACACAGTTTTGGGAACACGCGCACACTTGGGTCTTATTTTACTTGCTATGTAAGGACATTTTTATAGGATTTCTCGTGAAACTCCTGGTGCACACCGCAAGGCAAACAAAGGAAAGGGCTTAATATAAGTTGGCCAACTTGTGCCCAATCCCAATGTATATATTGATACAATAAAATATATTTAAATCAAGACAAACAACGAGCGATACGTTATTTCAATATTATCTCAATCCGGGTTGTACAACTTATGCAATTGTTAGTGTTGCACGTGTCCTCAACATCACATACACGTGATTACACTACCGTCGCTTCAGGGTCATAAATTATCACGTACTTCATGTCAGTACAGCCACGAGCAAATTCGTACATCACATGATCGATAACTTACTCATTTCTCTACGCCAGTATTAAAATACAATGATACATATGTCGCAACAGTACCAGTAAGTAGGGACGTAGTAACCTTTTATTGAGACAGGAAACAGAGACCAACGACTAATACCGGGAAGCGGGATCCGGAAGAAATGTCACATGGCCATCACTGGCGCTATATCAAAGTGAACTTATGAGACATGCAAAAAAAAAAAAAAAAAACAACTTCTTAAGCTACAATGAAGAGATGTAAATATTGACTTGGTATGATAACTGTTCACATCGAATAGACATTGTACCCAGTAAGGGTAACTTTATTATCTATGTAAACAAACACTCTCTTCCGTAAGGTAATTTAGTTGTGGTAAGAGATGTGAGCACTTCACTTTGTTTCAGGTCACTGTTCCTCTTATCTCGCTTCCCTAAGCATTATTTGCAATCTGTCGTTAAATGTCTTCAGGGTACCTCCATTGCTCTTGGTCATAGTCCTAGTTTGTGACCGAATGTAAGGACCTACCTATTCGCGATATGATTGTCTAGAGTTGTGTAATAAAAATAAATGTATCCCGACTACAACCACGAGACTCAAGAGTACAACTGTTTGAATGTCTGTCGTATGAAGGTCGGCTGTAACAGAAAAACCAATTAACGAATCAATCAATCGTTTTGCAGTACAAGGTTTCGACACGGCAGAAGAGATTGATGACTATTACGCGAAAAACGGCAAGGTGATCTGGGGAGCGGTGGTATTTGACGCAACAGAAGATTATAGGTCGACTCTACCTCAACACATACGGTACGACCTGAGCGTTTCCAGACTCAACGATGGCGACAGGTGGCGCACAGCCAGGGTCTACCCGTTTTTTCGGACTCCCTGGTTTCGAAATGAAGATGATGACGGTGGAGAACCTAGTGGGTTTCTTTATTTTTTTTTTAAACATTTACAAGAATAATGATCAAAATGTCCAAAAGTGTGATATAAATTTTGTCTGATTTAATGTAATTCAATGACAGTAGAAATATGTCAGTATTAGCTCTTGTTGACTGAACTCAGTCTATATCGATCGGTAGTATTAACTCTTGTTGACTGAACTCAGTCTATATCGATCGGTAGTATTAACTCTTGCTGACTGAACTCAGTCTATATCGATCGGTAGTATTAACTCTTGTAGACTGAACTCAGTCTATATCGATCGGTAGTTTTAACTCTTGTTGACTGAACTCAGTCTATATCGATCGGTAGTATTAACTCTTGTAGACTGAACTCAGTCTATATCGATCGGTAGTATTAACTCTTGTTGACTGAACTCAGTCTATATCGATCGGTAGTTTTAACTCTTGTAGACTGAACTCAGTCTATATCGATCGGTAGTATTAACTCTTGTAGACTGAACTCAGTCTATATCGATCGGTAGTATTAGCTCTTGTTGACTGAACTCAGTCTATATCGATCGGTAGTATTAGCTCTTGTTGACTGAACTCAGTCTATATCGATCGGTTTTTTATCTTTGAGAGGTAGGGATAAATCAATATCTCATGGTTGTTTTTGATAAGGCGTCATTCTCAAGCTTTAAGGTTATAAATCGTTGACAACGTGAGTGAGGACACATGTATTTAGTCGTTTAAGAGAGTATAATAAATATGTAGGTTGAATCACTCGTTAATTTATGACTTTTTAAACGAGGACAATGCAGTCAGTTATATACCTCCACGAGGAGTCGACAGTCGTGGATATTGAGATAGACAGAGATAGACTAACAATTTTCCAGAATGATAACAATTTTTATAATAGATTCCTTTTGTCAGGTACAAAATGACCTATAAACGTCTTCAGTTTACAATAGTATATTCCTGATTATTAACACTGTTAGTCTGGATCGTAGTGTAAAATATAATGATGTGTTCTCAGATTACCACACCACCGGCTTCCTGCTGCTACAATATTTGGTGGACAGGGCCATCATCGAAAAACATGCTCCAGGAAGCAATCTGTCCTCAATTGACTTTAAAATGAGAAGGATGCCATTCCCGCCTGTAGTGAAAGACTTCCTCCTGCCCACACTTCAAACCAACCTCCCATTATTTCTTATGCTTGGATTTATTCTCTCCTCCCTACAGACCATAAAGAACATCCTCTATGAAAAGGAAAGACGACTCAAGGTATAGGAGAAAAAAAAACAATAAAATAACGACTTTTTAAACAAAACCGTAATTCTGTCGATAAAAGAAGGCAAAAACAAAAATTTTTGCACAGAACTTCTACAAAAGGAACAAGATGCGATGTTCCAAAAGGGCAAAGTGTCTCATACTTCGTCGACGATACTCGCCGCGTAATTCTAGGTCAAGTGTTTTCGGATGTACAAAATGAGACACGAATTGCTGATGATAATCAAATTGATCTAACTTCACATTGTTCAAGAATATCTATTTCATTTCTCTTCCTGATCTCATTATGGCAATAATAACATTTCCCCATATCTTTTTTATCGATCTGCATCAATTAAAACCCTGTATTGTATTTTTTTTATGTGATATGAAATTGGACGTGTTTGATGCTCGTTAGTATACATGTTGGCTCCGTTGTTGTTAATATTGTTCTACGCTGGTGAACGTAAACGTGCCATTACATACTTGGATTGACTAAGATAAACATTAAACAAAAACGCTTACTCCTCAGGAACACTTGGTATTTTTGTATTTTTCTGGAGTGTCTGGGTAAATCTTTCTTTTGTTCATATTGTGCCATAGGTTTTAATTTGGATCATGTTTCTGTTGATATATTGGTGTCTTCTTCTTGTTTTTGTCAGCAGTCGTCATCTACCTCAGAAATCGTGACATTTTTATTTAAATATATAAAATTTGATGGTGAGGTTATGTTACAGGTACCCGACAGTTCAGAGACCGTGTTTTCTTGTTGCCTTTCATGGTGTCTACTTTACCAAATAATCGCTAATCGCTGACTTCTGTTGTAGGAAGCAATGAAGTTGATGGGTTTGAGCTCGACTGTTTACTGGCTGTCATGGTTTTTCAAAGCCTTCGTCTATCTCGTCATCGCTTGTGCCATATACACCATCTTGTTTGCAATCAGAATTGGTGACAAGGGGAGCGTCCTAAACAATTCTGACCCTTCCCTGATATTTGTGTTCCTCATCTGCTACAGTTCTTCGATTATTACATTCTGTTTCATGATGAGTACATTTTTCAACAAAGGTAAGAGTCATAAGAAAACAAAAACTGACCAATATGCCTTACATCTTCATCTCAACTAACTCACAAGACCTAACATTACTCATTGCAACACGTGCCGACAAGTTCTGATTAAGAATTTATGAAATTTGTGATGTAGACTACTTTTTTACTTGAGATAATCGTTTCCTGTCGTTTAGATTCTTTAGATTGGAATTCAAACTTTTCTCTTCGTTTTAAACGTTTTGCAGTTTTCCTAACTATCTAATTTCATTAACATCGCTTTCTTCCTTAGAGCTTTGTTTATGATACGTTAAATCGTGGTTACTGAAGCCATTGAGTGATGACATCTTTAAGAATTCTGTTTCTGTTGTAGCCAACACCGGTGCCAATGCGGGAGGGATCATCTACTTTCTTCTGTATTTCCCATACTTCTTCCTTACTAACTATTACGAGACTATGACTCGCAACCAGAAGATGGCGACTTGTCTGATATTTAATACAGGGATGGCGCTAGGAGTCAACACCATTGGAATATACGAAGGCACAGGTACTTCCTTTCTGGTAGTGTCAAGCATAACACCGAAATGTATAAAGCCATTAAAAAAAATTAAGCGATACATACAAATTATACTTTTATGTTTAACATGAATTTTAATCTGCCATGATTTCTACACAGTAAAAAGATTGACACTGACAGAATCATAACTCTCTCTATATTTGCTTTATGAGACATATTGTTATCTGGTTTAAAATCATTATACACAGTTGGCATACGAGGTACCGAGATATTCTGTAAATGGTGTATCACAGGTACACTGAAACAACACCACTAAATAGAATGCAATGTACAATGGAGCTTTGATTTTATTTTGAGTTATTTATCATCCACCCCGGCAACGGGACGGCTTGGTAAAGAAGTGATCACCGGAATTATTGGAAACTTTATCACGCCTTCAGCATTACTGTGCACGAGTACGCGGTTGTAGACCAAAGTTAAGGGTTGAACAGATTTTTCGTTTGTGTTAGGTGGGGTTGGTAGATTTGCATATTAATACAGCTAGGTCCTATCATTTTAAAAATACAAAATACGTTAATGTGTCCGTTTGGTGTAAACAAATATGGAAACAAGATTATTTCCTTTAAAACTTTGAGTTTAATGTGCGGAAGCTACTATTATAGTATTTGGCTAATTGATAAAGTATATATACAAAAGATGATCAATCGATTTCAATCGTGTAATTACATGTCATGATCAAGAAAGCGTTTTACATAAGTTCGAATATGAGAATAGTTACAAACTCGTCTACTTACGGAAACATGACGTCACATCCTTCATCCACACGTGTAAGTAGATCTTCAGGAACGTACTTGGGTTTTGCTATTAGATATGAAGAAGACGCATACCCTTCACAGATCGCCTGTTTTTCTTCTCCTTGCACTTTTTCAAGTGTTCCCGTGAAAATCTTTCTTTCTCTAATTTTATTGAAACTAAGTTTGAATTTTAACATTTCCTGTCAAAGGTTTGAAAAAAACACAATCATGTTTAGACGAATAGGTGTAATTTAACTATATACTTTGTTATGGATGTATAGTGACCCAATCAAACATGTAGGCTTCGGTAACTAAACGACAAGGAAGGTTAAGACAATCATCAGTCATTTACCATTGTACATATAGTTACGACACAGGCCATCTCAGAAGTAGGTACCGGTATAATAAGTGAACGTAACTGATAAACAGCCTCAATCTAAAGTTAGGCTGACCCAACCACGCAGTCATTCATGAGTGTACCCATCGTACTGGTTACAACTACCAAATCTATCACAAAGAGAAATGGAATGTGTTTGATACGCTTTTATCTTGCCTGAAAAAGATAATTTTATCTGATGTTATCATTTCGTAACGTACAAAATGAGTTGATATCTGATGTCAGTTTCTAACAAATTTTGTTGCATCAATTTTTAAGGTATGTCATTTTCAATTTTTCATCACGTGGTGATTACTAATTTAGGTGACGGTGCAAGATGGACTAATTTCCATAAGCCTGCTACCGTTGACGACAATTTCTCTCTGCTGGACGCCATGCTAATGCTACTTGTCGATAGTGTACTATACTTACTGGTCACGTGGTACGTGGACAATGTCCATCCTGGAGAATATGGAGTACCTGAGCCATGGTACTTTCCTGTCTCCGTAAGTAAATGGTCATCGAAGAGAAAAAGTGTCTTCAATCTGGCTCAAACCAGAACGATTATCAGATTCTAGTAATGTAAGTAAGATTCTCAATATTATGTTTTCCTTTTGTAACTGAATCTCTTATGATATTTTTATAGTTTCTTTACTATGTAATGAAACAGACTTGTTTAACTCTGCTATAGATATAATATGAACTATCGTTTATACGTACAGAAGAAATACTGGTGTGGTACAAACACGGCCTCAGATAACTACACTCACGTGGAACCACCGTCCGTCACCAACCCAGAGAAATTCGAAAAAGATCCAAGTGGCCTTCGTGTCGGTATCAAGATAAGCAACCTGAGGAAGGTAAGGAACAGTCCTTTGATCCTAGTATCACTGAATATGCAAATAGCGTGTGATTTATTCCGTTAATAACCAGTGAAGTTTGTTTATCATCAATAGGTATATAATGCACTGCTAGTTAGTTTATCATCAATAGGTATATAATGCACTGGTAGTTAGTTTATTATCAATAGGTATATAATGTACTGGTAGTTAGTTTATTATCAATAGGTATATAATGCACTGCTAGTTAGTTTATCATCAATAGGTATATATTGCACTGGTAGTTAGTTTATTATCAATAGGTATATAATGTACTGCCCTTCTCCAAAAAAGATTAATGAGTATTTGATCGTATTATATCTTTAATATGTCATATCATGTGTATGTAGGTGTTCGGTTCTGGTACTGGAAAAAAAGTGGCGGTTGCCAATACTACTCTTAATATGTATGACGGACAAATCACTGCTCTTTTGGGACACAATGGAGCTGGCAAGACAACCACCATGTCTATGTTGACAGGTACATACATCATTTTGTAAAGGATTGCATCAAATATTCAATTTTAGAATTAGATACAGTAGAGCCAAATAATGAATTGAACTGCTCCATATTGCTGTTTTGTTTTTCTAGGACTCGTCAGTGTTGTTAAGAGACTAAATTTCGAAATGTAGGAGTCGACTGAGGGAATCATAACTGGTCGAAAGAAATGTCATTTGAATTCATTGTTATCGATCTTATCTAATCTGACATGTAATTAGATATATTCTAATCAATATCTCTGAAATTTTATTCATGTTTTTGCGCTGCTTCGGTAGGTTTCATACCACCCACCAAGGGAACGGCGACTGTGAACGGGTACGATATCCGTACCGACATTCTAAAGGTACGGCAGAGTCTTGGTATGTGTCCACAACACAACATCCTGTTTGATACCATGACGGTCGATGAACATCTAGAGTTCTTTGCCAAGGTAATTATACCACAAGATTGGGCACGAACTTCCACAATTATGTTCTAAGGTGCAAGTAATTATACCACAATGCCGGCCAAAACTATCTTAATTAATCATACCACATGATATGCAGAGCATCGACAGATCTTCGCTAAGGTTATACCACAAGCAAGAACAACCAGTTGTCTTTAAGAATTCCCAACACATTTGTCCGGAGGCATTGCTTAGGTAGTCCTGCTAAGCAACCATCCTAAAATGTCTGGAAGTCTTACATTAAGATTGTGAATGAATGTCATTTCAATTTTAACATATCAACAGACTAATTTCTTTTCTAGAGTATTTTTTTCAGATCGTTTTTCACTTGTTATAAATATTCGCTTTTATCACTTAAAATCTAAAGACTTGACAATGTCATTACTCTCTATCTCGAACATTTGCTTTCAGTTGTTCTGTTGAATTGAAAACTGTCTACTAGGAGCCATTTGAATTGTCTCGGATGGTTGAGTATTTTCTTTTGTTTGTTTTTTTAGTTGAAGGGATGTGAGTCCCGTAATGTCCGTCAGGAAGTTGATGACATGATCAGGATACTCGACCTAGAACCAAAAAGAGACAGTTTTTCTGTTACCCTTTCCGGTGGACAAAAGCGAAAGTTATCTGTAGGAATTGCTCTGATTTCTGGGTCAAAGGTAAGATATGTGCAATACTTAGCAGGAATATTTCCTTTGAAAAATTTTCTCTTGAATAAAGATGCATGACTTTTTTTAGTTCATCTGGCCCGAAGGGCCCTGTGAGCTATAGGGATACTGCGGCGTCCGGCGTCCGGTGTCTGCCCGTCATCTGTCTGTCAACATTTTCTACAAAGTTCTACTAGTCAAGAACGACTCGGGGGATTCTTAGTAGCATTCTTAAAGGAAGTGGAACATTTCTTATATAGATAGTGTGTCCCGGTGCCCAAGTGCCTGAGGGGCCGGACCCAAAAGGGGAAATATTGCAAATCCTTTAAAATACTACTAGAAATGATTGGATTTTGTCCCAAAAAGGAGAGAGAAAAAGCAATTTAAAAAAATCTTTCTTCTGTAACAATGATGGTATTTTAGCAAAATTAGGCCAGAAACATCATTTGGCGAAGGGAAATGAATCTTGCATAAACAGTGGATCTCAGCCCCCTGGGGCGGGAGGGGCGAGGCCTAACAAGGAAATCGAGTAAATTCTTTAAAAATCCTACTCCTCCTGTAGTAATAATTGAGTTTGTTCTAATTTGGTCTTAATCCTGTCTAGGCGAAAAGGAACCAATATTGTATAAACAATGGGTATCCTCCCCGCCCGCCAGGGGCGGGGCACAATAGAAAAATATAACACATTTTTTAAAATCTTACTTCTCCGGTAGGAATGATTGGTTTTTGTCCAAATATGGTGTGAATCATGTTAAGGTGTAGAGGAATCAATTTTGTATAAACGGTGGATCTTGGTCCCCTAGGGCAAGAGAATAGGGGCTCAACATGGGAAATATGTTTTAAAACCGTCTAGATCCCCATCCCATGTTATAGAATTTTTGGACATAAAGAGATAAACACAGTCGTGATGTAAGAATTGCCCCAGGGGTTTGGCCCCACTTCTAGGGATTCAGTTTCACGATAATATCTTCTCAACAGTTGAGATCCCAACCCCTAAACTATATATGACAATGCTGGTATCAAGAGATAAACACATTTATAATATGGCCCACCCTTCTGGACTTTGTGATATCTTTGAAACAGTAGAAATTCACAACCTATAACTATATATATATATGTAATTTCTTGCCAGCAAGAGATAAACACATTTGTTATGTAAGAATTTAACACTTGGCGTGGCACACCTCAAAGGACATTATTTCTGGGTCATATTTTAGATATAGTTGAAATGCCAACCGATAACTACATAAATTGGGAATCAAAAGAGAAAGACAGTAACGATAAGTGACTGGGTTTTAAATCGGAAATACGAAATTCGAATACATATTCGGAAATTTGAAATACCCAACCTATAGGCATGTATAACATTCCTGGATTTTAAATCCAGGTGAAATATATAGGTCCGATGGTCCTCTGGTTTGATCAAATATTGTAATGTATTCGTTGTAATACTGCTGCTTAGGTGGTCATCCTAGATGAGCCTACCTCCGGTATGGACCCCGCTGCTAGACGGCAAATCTGGGACATCCTACAGAAGTTCCGCAAAGAAAGGACGATTGTGCTGAGTACCCACTTCATGGACGAAGCTGACCTCCTGGGGGACAGAATTGCTATCATGGCGGATGGTGTTGTCAAGTGCTGTGGCACCTCGCTCTTCCTGAAAAAACTCTACGGTATGGAATATACGCTCAACTCTACCGATTTCCTTTTACTGGATTTATTGTAGTAAGGTTTCAGTATATCCAAGCTTTTGTCGTTCCCTTTGTTCACATGAATAATGCTTATAAGAAAAGATATTAAAAACACTCTGGAATCTCAGTCACTAATTTCATGATTGATATGCTCCAGGGGCAGGATATCATCTTGTGGTGGTTAAGGCCAAAGATTGTGACGTGGAGAGGTTGACAAGTACGATTCAGTCCTTAATCCCGACAGCCTCGCTTGAGAGTCAAATAAGTGCCGAGCTGTCATATCTCCTCCCGTTCGACCAGTCAGCGAAGTTCGAGGAACTGTTTGAGCAGATAGAAAAGAAATCAGTTGAACTCGGTATATCCAGTTTTGGAACGTCGGCAACGACAATGGAGGAAGTCTTCCTTAAGTAAATATTATCATCACATATAGTAATGCATTAACCCCCGTACAGTCTTTTTTAATTCTAGCTTGTTTTTGTGTGTTTGCAAATTTAATTTCCAAACTTATTGATAATCTATTACGCTCTCATGTTTATTTCCACTTTGCCTATTTAATGGAGAAAATTTACGTAGGGTTTGTTGTTTGATCCAATTGACTAAGCCATCATGTTGATAAAATTTTAAGAAAGTAATGGAAACACCAAGAACGCTGTTGTTTTGCAATCCAATAGCAGGTGTGTTTATTTCTTAATGAATCATGCTGATATTTGAAGCCGTGACCCTTTTGCAATTGTCAGTTAATTGATAAAGATGTTAGAATATTATTAATCACGCCTATGGATGTATGTATGTTCTCCTTTGCTGGCAAACAATAAGCAACATAATCATGATCTTAACTCAGATTCAATAAAACTAGGGCAAACATGAACATCAGATAGATTTACACGAAGACTCCTGAAAAAGTACAAAGAGAATAAGACATTGTGTTCCAGAAGAGCAAATTTAGGTCAATCCAAGTAAGTAATGTCTGGTCTCAATTGAGAAGTTCAACGGAATCAACAAGGAAGCTAACGAATTTCAAGCACGTCCAGCTTCATATCGCATAAATAAAGAGGAAATAGAATATAATCTATCGATATATAGACATCAATAAATACCGAAGAAATCAAAAAATTTTCATCAAATTATTTTTAAACATTAAAATAGGGTAGGGGAGAGCTCTGAACATGACGGGGATGGCGATTCCACAGAGACTTCTCAATTGCAAAACGGTGTAATGAACCCCAGCTATGAATACAAAGACGCAAGAAATGGGTATGCACATCAGGAAGACAAGGACTATCACAGCATGAAGAACATACCCGCAGAACATGGTCCTAGTGTAGACAGGTTTGTCGGTAAGTCGCATGCCAATTACGGAAAAATTCATAGTCAACGATTAACCTCAGATGGTATAGCAATGGCGCAATTGCCGGTACGATGAAATAATCCACTTTAGCGCATCAAGGGGCCGGTTGCAATTGTTTTTCTGTGTTCTTGTAATCACCACTCAAGGGTTTGTTTTAAAGTGAATGAAATAAATCACTAGTCTACCTCATTAATGCCGAGATGAACAGCTTTCAATCGATTTTAGGATAAGTATGTGGTATTTGTAAGCATTTCTGTTCTCGACATATTCCAAAGGTTCAGCGAATAGATTCCTAAACGAACAGAAAACTGAGATGTCAAGACTTGAAGTGCAATAACTGATTGCCTGTAACGTTAATTCACATGTCAGTTATTTCAAAGTTTGTGTGTACCTTTAATTCACATGTCAGTCATGTCGAAGTTTGCCTGTACCTTTAGTTAACATGTCAGTTATGTCGAAATTTACCTGTACCGGTAATTCACATGTTGAATATGTCAAAGATTCTCAACTAGTATTGTAAACTACTAACAGATATACGTATTTACATAAGTAATACTAACTTATGCTCACTTCAATATTTGATGCAAATTAAACGTTGTATACGTCGCAGCTATACATGTAACAACTTAAATTAAGCTTAGGATTTGCTTTGGTGTTAATGCTTTGTCACTTTTGTTGTAGAATTTAACTTAAACTTGAGGAAGAACACAGGTTTGCTGCTTTCCTTACAACAGTTTTTTGGTATGTTTGTAAAGAAGGCAATTCACTTTTGGCGGAATAGGATAGTGACTCTAGTCCAGCTATTGATCCCGGTAGCATTCACAATAATGGCTCTTACTGTGGCAGAAACTGTCCCAAAGCCAGGAAACGAACCTGCGTTACTACTCGACCTGGCACCCTTTGGTTCTTCTAGTGTTACTGGATATCGTTCTAGTAACGTCACCTCAAATATAAGCACAGTTTATAAAGACACGTTCAGTGGATATAAAACTCAGGAATTTTTACCATCTAGCACTTTTATGGACGAGTTATTAAAAAATGCAAAGGACATTGGAACAGCCACGTTCAACAAAAGGTACATCGTTGGCGCTGATTTCAATTACAATATTTCAAATGCAAAATTAGAAGTGACCTCGTTTTTTAATGGAGAACCCTATCACAGCCCAGCAATTGCAGTAGCCTACACAATGAATGCAGTTCTGCAGTTTTTCACGGACGACCAACACTCCATTAAGACCAGCAACTCGCCATTCGAAGAGACTTTAGAAGCAAACAGCCGAGCAGTGGCTGGGTCCACCCTAGGCACTGGTTTCACAGTTGCATTTGTCATTTTGTTCGGTATGGCTTTTCTGTCCACCAGCTTTATCATCTTTCTCATAAAAGAGCGGGCAAGTGGTGCCAAACATCTACAGAAGGTTAGCGGTGTCAGTAACTTTGCATATTGGGCATCCAGCTTTTCTTGGGATATCATCAACTACTTACTTCCAGTTCTGTGTATCATGGTGGTGTTCGCTGCGTTCCAAACCGAAGCTTACTCAAACGGAGGTCGTCTTGGTTATGTGTTCCTGCTCTTTTTCATATATGGAATGGCGTGTCTTCCGTTCGTGTACCTATTACACTACCTGTTTGATGTCCCAGCAACAGGAATGGTAGTGGTTACCATGCTCAACATAGTAACAGGTAGGAATTATTGCTACAGGGATGAAGGGTAGAGATGATGGTAACCTCCCAATTAGACAACTAATTGGATTATGGTAATTACCGAATACTGTCACATGTAAGTATAGCGGCAACACAGGGATGGTGGTTATCACTATATTAGATATTATAACAGGTAAGAATAGCGGCTTCAGAGGGTAGGGGGTTATCACTATAGTTAATACTGTCACAGGTAAGTATTACAGCTACAGAGGGTAGGGGGTTATCACTATAGTTAATACCGTCACAGGTAAGTATTACAGCTACAGAGGGTAGGTTGTTATCACTTTATTAAATACCGTCACAGGTAAGTATTACAGCTACATAGGGTAGGTTGTTATCATTTTATTAAATACCGTCACAGGTAAGTATTACAGCTACAGAGGGTAGGGGTTATCACTGTAGTAAATACCGTTACAGGTAAGTATAGCAGCTACAGAAAGATTATGGTTATCACTATAAAGTAATTACTGCCACTTGTAAATATAGCAACTACACGTCTATTACCAAACGTTGCATAATCACAAGGATTACTGTATTTCTGAATAAAGCAGAATTGATAAAAACGGAAAAGAATCGGATTTCTTTATAAAGATGCCATAATAAAGATTTTACTGTCATTCCATATATTCAGGCCTCGCTACGACAATGGCTGTTTTTGTACTCCGATTCCCATTCCTTGGGACCATTGACGTTTCTAACGCACTGGACTGGGCATTCAGCGTAATCATTCCACACTACTGTCTGGGTCTCGGCCTCATGAACATATATACAAACTACGAGTACATAAAGGCGTGTAATGTCATCGACTACAAGTTACTTTGTCTCATACCAAAACTCAACCAGAATCCTTGTTGCAAAGGTAAGCAGCACATTTAACCACCCGTACGATTTCCTAACGACAGTTGATATATGCCTGGTGGTTTAGCTTTTGCTATGGGAATGATAGTGATATCGTGTGAAAGTTACGGGGTCATTTTGTGGTCATAAGAAAAAAAGAATAGGGAATGAACAATAGAGTATATCATATATCATTGATGTTATCTTCACCTGTGGAATTGGTGTTTTGGGTTGGAATACAGGTACTGTCTTTTCCGATTCTACATGAGAATGTGGATATAAAGCTATCAGATAACAAAAAGAGCATTCAAGTTCATGAATATACAGTAAATGTATCACAGGGGAAAACAAGCATGGTTAAGACCTGTAAACATACGGTGTATGTCAACCTAAGAATTAATGGTTAAAACGCTGGCGCACGTCAGATAAGAGTAATGGATGAGTAAGATGTAGGCTAAAAAACCATTCAGCGAGTTCTATGGACGTCTGAAACATGTTAAAGATTCCTTCTGTGTTATTTATACGTTCCATTTGTTATGAATACGGTATGTATGCGCCAATAATTGAGGAAAATCCTAAATCAATAGTTCAGCGTTTTTTAATAACAATACATGTGTGACATAAGTTTATAAGTCTTTGAATATATATATATATTCCAAAAATAAGTACATGTATACAAAAAGATTATGGTTATTGATTACCCTGCTTTTAAATTTTACAATATCGAAGTCGTCTGATTACGTCATGAAATGAGTTCTTAGGAAGTGTACATTGAAAGTGGTCACCGCTGGAGAAAATACCCATTTTGCGATAGAATTAAGTACAAATTCAAGTATATACCAACATTTCATTATAACCATAATCCAAACTCAGATTCAATAAAACTAGAACAAAGCATGAATAACAGAAAGATTCTTAAAAAATTACAATTGTCACCTGACTGAACCTGTCAGACTGATTAAATAATATGTAAATTAGGCAGTTATATAAGCTATAAGCGTTTGAACCCCATAATGATTTGTGTAACACATGTGATAATGAAAACAACATGGCCGAACGGAAATTTCTTTGAAATGCATCGAAACATTACTCTTGTCATTGGGAAAACCACAGAAATATCGGGAATGAAGTCATAAGTAAAATCAGGGAGGCCAAGAATAATTATTTAGAAATTATGCAAAAATTGTTAGCTAATAAAGTTACTTCTTCATCTAGTTTGCAAAAACTGTTTTAAATATAAATAATAAAAGTAACTCTATTCCCCCTCTTAAATGTGATGAATCTTTAGTTCAACATCCGTTTGATAAAGCTGGGTTACTTAATAAATATGTTACTTCTATATCTACCACTTCTGAGAATATTGAACCAATCCCTGATATAGAAATTAACTGTCCTCATTCTTTAGATAACATATCAATAACACATCAAGATGTTTGTGATCAGTTATTTCTCTTAAATAATAATAAACCAGCTGGGCCTGATGGTATGGTACCAAAGATAATCAAGGAACTTCAACATTCTATTTCTCTTTCTTTGCTCTTTAACAAAACACTACAAACAGGAGTTATCCCCCTTGGCTGGAAAACTGCCAATATTAATGCCATTTATAAAGGAAAAGGTTTAATAAATGAAATATCTAATTACAGACCAATCTCTATAACTTCATGTTTTAGTAGAATTATAGAAAAATGCCATTTATAAAGGAAAAGGTTTAATAAATGAAATATCTAATTACAGACCAATCTCTATAACTTCATGTTTTAGTAGAATTATAGAAAAATTATATTTAAATACATGTTTAATTATCTAGCTTATCATGAAGTTATTTCAAAACATCAATCTGGTTTTATGCCTAAGGACTCTAAAGCAAATCAATCAGTATATCACACTATCGTACAATGTTTAGACCAAGGTAAAGAATCAAGGTTTGTTTTTTGCGACATAAGCAAAGCATTTGATAGAGTCTGGCATGACGGATTATTATATAAACTTCAAGTATATGGCATCAAAGGGAAATTACTTAAGTAGTTTAGGAATTTTTTAGATGATAGAAAACAAAGAGTCTTAACTAATATATATCGACGCCTAAGTCTGTTAGTGCAGGGGTACCACAGGGCTCAGTTCTCGGTCCATTTTTGTTTTTACTTTATATTAATGATATTGTTGATTGTGTTTCTAATCTAATTAAACTGTTTGCTGACGACACTTCCCTGTATGCTGTAACAGATAATGATCCAGTTGAACTAGCACAAAACTTAACAGATGATCTCAGCAATATTCAACTCTGGGCTAATAGATGGGACGTAAAATTTAATCCAAACAAAACTGAATCTGTGATTTTCTCTAAAAAATTGAATACCCATCACCTAAATGTATATTTTCATAATGAACCTGTTACTGTCAGTCGAATACATAAACATCTCGGTCTGACATTCAGTGATGATGCTAAGTGGAATGACCATATTTTGTTTTATATTTATCAAAAGGCCTATAAAAGAATTAATGTGTTAAGAATGATGAAGTATAAATTGGACAGTCATTAACTACAATATATATATCATATATTAGGCCAATACTTGAATACCCTGATATTGTCTGGGATAATTGTTCACAAAATTTAAAAGATCTCTTAGAATCAGTACAATTAGAGGCGGCAAGGATAATAACAGGACTGCGTAGAGGCACCTACCACAAACTCTTGTATAAAGAATTAGGTTGGGTTTCTCTTGAAAGCAGCATAAAATGATGCTGATGTATAAAAGTATGAATGATCAATCTCCAAACTACTTGAAAGAAATTATTGAATCTTATCTTCATGATCCCACATTAGATAGGTATACCTTTAGATCTCTTAGATTATTTGATCATCCTCTCTGTCGAACTGTCAACTATTATAGTAGCTTCTTCCCATCCATGTTTAATGAAATTAATAATATAGCTCGGGTTCTTCAAAATATTCGTTCTACTTATCAGTTTAAAAAATTATAACACCTGTCCAAAACCTTGACACAAAAACAACTGATATTTTTAAGTTCTTTGGAAATCGAGAAACCAATATAATTCTCTGTCAGTTGAGAAATGAGGCCAGCAACCTAAATTGTGACCTTCTGAAAGATCATCTAGCTGAGTCCTCGGCTTGCTCTTGTGGATTTAGATGTGAAACAGCATCTCACTACTTTCTTGATTGTTTAAACTTTAATCAATATCATGTTATACTTTTTTCAGAATATATCACATGACGTTCATAACCATCTAACTATTGATGCCATTCTAAATGGTTGTGAGAGATGCAATGAAAATGAAAATAATCATATCCTTCTATCTGTCTCAGATAATATCTTAAGAACTAGAAGACTTAGTATATCTAACCAAGATCTCTAACTCATTATGCATTCATTCATTCATTGTCATCTGATTTCCAAATAAGGTACCTTGCACATTAATATTTGTTCTTTAGGGAGGGTTTAGTGTTCACAAGACCAGTTATACTGTCTACTCAAAATATTGGGGAACAAATTAATGAATAGAATTAGAAATTGGAAGAAGAACAACACAGATCTCTAACCTGCAAATAGACATAAATTAAACTATTTGGTGGGATTGAATTTCCAAATTCATCATTGGATGGCCTTGTGTGATACAATGAATTTTTCCAGCCTGTATCTGTTGGGTGAGGTAATTTAATAACACTAAATGTTCATTAATTAATCTCTAATAGTTTTCTTCTCTTCTTCAATTAAATGTAATATTTTTATTTAAAGAATTATACTGAAAGGTTAGAAAATGAAATCAAATGGAATTAAATTAGAAATAGATTTAAGTAGTTGTCTCCCCTACTTCAGCATTCTGATTTATTTATGTTTGTATATGTTCAAATGTCTAATTTTGTATGCCTATGTTTGTACCACTGTTTGTTACCATGTTCGGAGAGGGCTTAAATAGGCTATACCTGCTGCCCAATCCATTTGTCAATTTGACAATAAAACTTGTTGAAATTCAAAACCTCTGACTCTATAGGGGGCAAGGTGGTAAGCCACTCGCCTTTCACCTACCCGTCCGGGGTTCGATTCCCGGAATGGACGTGAGAAGGTATAGACCCTATACCTTTTCACGTGGGGTTTCACGCGCTTCCATCCAACAACAGTGATTATTATAAGTTGGAAAAACTTGTTTTGCAATCGTTGTAAGATGAAAAAAAAGATATTATTAGTGTTTTTTTTTTTACAAACATGTTCGTAAAGTGCCATTTTTCTGAATTTCTGCTAAGAACTTTATTTCTTTGTTTACGTTAGATACATGCGGTGATAACTGTTTCTCATTTACGGACGATTATCTTGCTTGGGAGTCACCTGGTATTGGAAAATACCTAATCTTCATGTCCATACAGGCAGTGGTATACTTCCTCATCATCTTCCTGGTGGAAAGCGGTCTGTTAAGTCAATTTTACTACTTCCTGTCTGGTAAGTCGGCCAACTCTGTTGGTGACTCTATGGTGTCTATGGAAGAACATGATTATGGGGGAGAAGAGGAGGACGATGACGTGAGAGATGAGAGGAGACGTATAAACAACACGTCAGTAAACAATCTGATGAAGACCGATTCTCTAATTATTAAGAACTTGTCCCGTACCTATGGTAGCCTAAAGGCGGTCCGAAATGTATCTGTTGGTGTAGCACCCGAAGAATGTTTCGGACTTTTGGGACAAAATGGCGCTGGAAAAACCTCCACGTTTAAAATGCTCACAGGAGATCAAATGGTGACCGGAGGCAACGCATACGTCAAGACCTACAGTATACAGGACCAGATACGAAAAGTGAGTTAATTCGCTCAAGTCGCATACCAGCTTCGTATAAATAGTATTTCTTATTTAAAACAGACAACAATTTGATGTACCTGCGAGAGTCTAGCTTATTCTGTATAGGCATTGATTTTCCTAAATATTACTTTGACCCTTTTATCGGTAAATCCTGTCTTATCAATCACAAACCAAACACTGTTTCCATTGTGCTTTACTGTTTTGTTGCACTTCCGCTTAATTTGTTATGTGTGTGTATTTCGAAAATTGTACTTTTCCTATAACATGTTGCCATTTTCTCGAATTTCCCATTATAGAATATCTGCTTGCGACTGAACTTGATTGTTTACTATTGAAGCGAGTAGCTCGGTGTTTCAGCAATGGTTCTACCATTTATATTTTTATCATAATGTTTCAGGTCCAGCAAAACCTTGGCTATTGTCCACAGTTTGACGCCCTCATTGACCAGATGACCGGACGAGAAACGCTGACTATGTATGCCAGATTAAGAGGTGTTCAGGAACAGCAGATTAAGGGACTAGTCGAAGAACTACTTTATATAATGACACTGAGTCAGTACGCAGACAAGAACTGTGCTTTTTACAGGTTAGTGTATCGATCTTACAGTGTACTGTTAAGTTGTACTATGGTACCTTTTACATAGTTCTTTCATTGCGGATAATATGAAGCTTATAGGAGATGGCCAAACAGACTGAATTTTAAAAAAGGTGATATTCTCGAAATATAGGCCACGACAAAAGTTTTCATTTGACATGCGAATTTATGAACCGAGACTTAAGAACTTTTCATTTTTGCAAGCATTAGGAAAGCAAAAATTAAAAAAAAAATGAATTTCATTAATCATATATCTAACGGAATCGAATTAATTTTTTTTATCAAATGATCGATTTTTCATATTTTGATACACATATAGTGGTGGAAATAAGCGAAAGTTGAGTACAGCCATGGCTCTGATAGGAGACCCGCCTTTCGTTCTATTGGACGAGCCAACCACGGGCATGGACCCTGGCGCACGGAGAACCCTATGGAATGTACTGTCGAAGATCAGGGCCAGCGGTCGCACCTTAGTTTTAACGTCACACAGGTACGTCAGGTCAAATAAACTAGATATATTGGGTATTATGAATTGAATGATAATTTCGGAATACATTAAATCAATAAACAATATGGCAATTGAATCTGATACCGATAATAAGCATTTTTTTCATTTTTTTTTCTTTCAGTATGGAGGAATGTGATGCACTTTGCACAAAGATCGTAATCATGGTCAACGGTAGGTTTGTCTGTTTGGGGAGCCCTCAGCATCTTAAGAACAAATTCGGGCATGGTTATACTTTAATAGTACGTCTTGGCTCTGATGATGATGGTAAAACAGCTGGTGGTGATGCATTGAAGAATTATATCATCCAGACATTTAAGAATGCCAATATTTTCGACGGTCACCAAGGGTACCTCCATTTTCAGATTCCTGATTCAGATGTTCCGCTAGCCCGTGTTTTTGGTGCTATGGAACGCGCAAAATCCCAGTTTGATATTGAAGACTACTCAGTCCACCAAACAACTCTAGAACAAGTATTCCTCACCTTCACTAGACATCAAACACCCCCCAAAGAAAAGAAAAAACGTAAGATATGTTGTTGTTAGTTTTGTTAATTCGATGGTATTTGGGGATCTTAAAACCTACTAATGTTAAAAGACATCTTCAGAGAAATCGTGTCAAAGCCTTGACATGAATTAATGCCCCTGCACAGTATCATATTTTAGTATCAGTGTATCTATTGCATGTAGAAGGACAATATTATTGTCTCCAAAAGGATCACTGTTCTCATCATCTCGATAGGAGAACAGCATTTCTGAAATTATTTCTTTATAGAACTGTGTTAGCTTCCTTAATGATCCATGTAGTCATTTGTTCGTGGAACAACAATTCGTATTAGTATTGCCTTTTCAGTAATAGCATCACTTACGACTTACTAGTATTAAAACAAATGTGAAGATCGTTAGTTATGTAAAAATGCTTTCCTGGGAAATCATCTGTTTTCGTTTACTGTGAAGTTGATTGACTCTTATATTCCTAATCTAACTAAATCGCCAAGAAACCAAACATTGAGAAATTTCAGCTCGCAATGATATATCCCCGAGTTTATATAGAAGTTCAAAGAATTATAAATGTGAAACAATGTGCCATTGTTTATTGAGTGCGATGTCCCCATTATGAGTCATTGGAAGTGTTTGCTAGCCCTGTGTGATTCAAGGGGCCGTCAACTACATGGGTAGTCTCTTCTGTATATCAATTCATATCGTTTTCAAAATCGGTTATACAATACAGATTACCATAATCAGCAATGGATGCTGACATATTTTTTAAAGTTAAGTTTATCTTTATATAACAGAAACATCCAGGGAATCTATGTTTTTCCTACTGTAATAGTGCATTCGATTGACAGGATGAAATTAAAACGGGAACATGGTGAAGTTTCGCTAATATTGTCAAAGAAATTTATAATTATACAGCATGTAAAATATGTTTAAAATCGAAACGCAATGTCTGTTTTTCTTACCTGTCATCGTATTACAGATATAACTTAGATGTCGGAATTACTTGGGACGATTATCTATTTTGATTTTATGTTATGTTTCCATTTTATTTGAAACAGAGTACTTGTATCTGCAATCTAACCTATACTACATAACATGATAATATAATAAATTATCATGTGAATGAACGAAATGGAAATACCCAAATAGTTCACTTCGAATTTCATAATTTATGAGCTTAACAAAGAACAAATAAAGAATATATTTAAACTGGAGTGCTTCATAAGATTAATGTCTGGAGGCCCGAGACGTATGTGATAATCTAGGGCCACTTCCCGGTGGGCACTACAGTGATGTGTGTAGAATTATTAACGCGTTTTCTGTTATACGTTTTATAGAGAGTACCTATCAGATGTGTTCATCACTATGGTGACATCTCCTTTTATGGACATTTCTATAGCTTTGTGTATGTATACAATGATACTGTTTATCTGTGATGCATTGTTTAACGTGCTTTGACAATCAAAAGCTATTGTACTTTCAGAAATAAACAAAAACGAAATCATATAGTTTGTTTTAGTTGTTGATGAGAATAGTGTAGTTATCTTTAAGACAGTTCATGAAAAAATCTGTTCTAGCCATAAATGACCAATCGCATTACAGGATAATCCATGATGTATTGATTTGAATTACATAAATTAACGGCATGACAGTCATATGCTGAACCATTAATGTAATTTTCTCCCACCTCTGCCCATGTAGGATAGACATGTCCCATGTGGAACACCCATGGAGGATTATAAGACTCTTTTCTATATGGGTATGTAGGATAGGGATATTCCACCCGAGGGTTCACAAAATGTACCCATATAGAAAAGAGTTTTTTTCTCTGATTTCTAATCTCATATTATCAAATATTTGCACTCACCTCGCGGTAGCCATCACTGGACGCCGCCATTTTTTAGATTTCAATTGTTTTTCCTTTGGCCATATACATAAAAAAATGCTGAAATAGATTCTCCATCCCCAAATTTTGCAAACTATGTTTGCGGTCGAAAACATAATATGGACTTTGAATGTAAACATCCAACGTCTGTGTTTAACTGTTTTTTCTTCAAGCGGACTGGGTCAAATACCCCGTCAAATATATCACCCAGAGACACGCGTACGCGTTCAAATATAGTGCCTTAAAACACGCAATAAAACTATATTTATACTACTTCACTGTCAATAGTAATCTTACAAGTCTTACACATTTATGAATGGAATTCTTGGTTTGCTTGTGAGATGACGTCACTTACGTCACACATTTCGCGCCACACCGACAGGAGGAAAGTCAGTCATTGTGACTTTCAATCACACGTGGACGACGGCGGAAAGGCCGAGTCCCAGGGTTGGTGATGTTGATATTTATAGAACAGTTTTGTTAATACGAGCCAGCAAACAATGACTCCAATCGACTATGCGTGTTTGTGGATGAAGCGGTTGACGAGGACATAGTCGATGAGTGCGCGGGAAAAAACTATGAATTACTCCGCGGGCGAGGCTTTATTACACAGGCGCCTGTGTAATAAACGTCTATCATGACCATGTTTATTGCCCTGGACAGGCCTATCTGACAGAGGTGGAAATGAGAAAAAAACTCTTTTCTATATGGGTATGTAGGATATCCTACATACCCACATAGAAAAGAGTGTTTTTCTCTCATTTCTAAAACCTCGGGTTTTACCACATTTTGTGACCCCTCGGGTGGAATATCCCTATCCTACATACCCATATAGAAAAGAGTCTTATAATCCCACATGACTGCACTCGGTGACCTCGTTCGAGGGACTATTTTTCTTTTGTACAAAGGGAGACAACTCCCGCGATCGTCTGCTCAAAAATCAAAATGGCTGAGACTGAGAAATTTCAAAACACTAACCTCTTCGCAAAAGAATAATATTTCCCAAACACAACAACACAGCAGCATATCCATGTGATCTGATCCAACTGATGTTACCCTGTCCATATTCTATGGATCCACAATTAGTGGAGGAAACTTTAACATTAAAATCCACAACCACATGTTTCCCATCACCACCGTGCCAAAGGCTCCTGAAATAAATTTGACACGTCGACGGCCTCGCGTTATTTACGACAGCGAAAGTGATAGAGCAGGAGCCCACAGGGGTCAGCCTAGCTGGAAAGGTAACAAAATTTGTTGCGCACAGCAAGGATCTATATACTTGGGCAAACAAAGAAATGGAAGTCTGCCGGTCCCCTGCTGGTAAGTGTGGTCCTCAGGGGCAGGATAATACATGGAAAATTTGAGCTAGCTTAGCTTTCATGAGTAACAAAGAAAAACAACTCAATATGTAATAAGCGTGATAAAGTGTATTAGAAATGACCGATGACAGATTTTTTACGTAGTGGGGTACCCCTACCAGAGCTCAAAAAAGGGCTCCAAAAATCATGCTAGCTCAATTCATGGGAAAGGTAACAAAATTTGTTGCGCAAGCAGGTAACAAGGATCTACTAGCCTCAAATTTATCAGTGGGGCCCACTTTAACAGAAAAGAGCAGTGACAGACATTTTCAGTGGTGGGGGTGTCCGAGAAATGACCAGACACCCCAAAGTACCACGTCCAACAGCTAAGCTAGCTCAGCTCATGGGGTAACAACTTCAAACTAGCCTCAAATTTCTCAGTAGGGCCCACTTTAACAGAAAAGAGCAGTGACAGACATTTTCTGTGGTGGGGGAGGGTCCGAGCCGGATGCCCTCAAAATACCTTGCTGATAGAACCATTTTGTCATGCATGCATGACTTTTTAAACCTTTTTATTTGCTCCAGCCCAATGGGTATATCAACACATGACCTAATATTGCATTGAATATCCTCTCAGGCCTACATCGTGAATAACTAATCCCAGAGAATTTTTTTCCACCCAGAGTCAGTGAATCCATCATAGATACAATCCTAATTCAAAAGGTCATACATCTTTTCAAGAAAAAGTAATTAATGCCAGTTGTAGTGATAAGAGACTTCCCGTTGTATAGGCCACAACATGCAACAGCATGCACTGTGTAGCTTCTCCAGACTAAATTTTAGGGAGAGTACGATAGGTGCATGAGGTCCTGGATGTTCTTGTCCGTATTTTTTCCAATTTCTTCTCCATCCTCACTTGATTTCACGCAACAGAGTACATGTAACACAAGAGTCAGGTGAATGAAATTACATTAGACTTGCTAAAGTTCACCAATTTGACTTTGTATTAATTTTTTAGCTCCTATTATCTGGTAAAAAACTGGGATTATAGCCCTACGATCAGACTGTTGACTGGATTTAAATGAAAAGTCAATGATAAATTTTATGAAATTCCAGAAAATCCATAGAAAAAGAAAATCCAGATACATGTATGGCAGGGGATCTCAACAATTATAGGAAGGTTGAGATACAGAAAAAAATACAATTATCAAGAACATCCAGGACCACATGCACCTATCGTACTCTCCTTAAAATTTAGTCTGGAGAAGCTACACAGTGCATGCTGTTGCATGCTGTGGCCTATGCAACGGGACCTCTCTTATCACTACAACTGGCATTAATTACTTTTTCTTGAAAACTGTATGACCTTTTGAATTAGGATTGTATCTATGATGGATTCACTGACTCTGGGTGGAAAAAAATCCTCTGGGATTAGTTACGATGTAGGCCTGAGAGGATATTCAATGCAATATTAGGTAATGTGTTGATATATTCATTGGGCTGGAGCAAATAAAAAGGTTTAAAAAGTCATGCATGCATGACAAAATGGTTCTATCAGCAAGGTATTTTGAGGGCATCCGGCTCGGACCCTCCCCCACCACAGAAAATGTCTGTCACTGCTCTTTTCTGTTAAAGTAGGCCCTACTGATAAATTTGAGGCTAGTTTGAAGTTGTTACCCCATGAGCTGAGCAAGCTTAGCTGTTGGGCGTGGTACTTTGGGGTGTCTGGCTCGGACCCCCCACCACTGAAAATGTCTGTCACTGCTCTTTTCTGTTAAAGTGGGCCCCACTGATAAATTTGAGGCTAGTTTTAAGTTGTTACCCCATGAATTGAGCTAGCATGATTTTTGGAGCCCTTT